TTCTGGTAGCGGTGTTCACAGTTAATCTCAACTCGACGCCACGCTACACACCTAACCTTTGGTCCAGAGCCCAATGCATCAGTGATCCACTGTTACTAGATACGCAAGCTCTTTAAGCGAAAGCTCCTTCTATTCCATCCACAACCATTTGAAGTCATTAACACTTCGAACGGAGATGTTCTTTCTTTGTTCGACCCATAAGATAAAAGATAGTGGATGGACAGAAAAATGCCAGGAAAGGAGTGATAAAAGTATCCTATTTTTTTCCTCAAAACAGAAATCGGAAATTTGAAGAGTTCTCAATCTCATATCCGAAAATTTCAAACTTCGAAGGTCATTTTTGCGCTCAGCTTTTTTATTCCTAGTTTATCCATCACTTTCGTTGCTTGAAGGGTGAACATCACTAGACATAAAGTGGCCAAACTAAAATCATATTTAAAATTGTCTTGACTTGGCCGCTTCTGTAAAACCATACGAATTGTCGGGGTGACGCACCAATCTTAAAATTGTAAAGTTTTTTTACATGTTTGACCCTAAACTGCTCAGTAACCCCCATTAGTCGACGATACCACTGAATCGTTGCTGCATTGTGCAAGTGGCAGTTTATGTTGGATGGTCGGACTTCTAGATGACTTGCATATATTCACTCATAATCCCATGGGAGATTGCAATCTCCCAAGTTTGAGGTATTTTGGGAAAACTCCAGCGTCAAATGACCTTCACCAAGGTTAAAGTGGAATTTTCCGAGATCTGGGAAAATTTTGGGGCTTTAATGCCATTCCCTCAAAGTTTACTATGGCAGCTATGGGAGCTCGGGATGCACCAACCTTTTTGCCAAAACACCTGAAACGTTTTTCGTAGTGTTATCGTAGAACGTGCGGTAACCTTATATTGGCATCTTGCTTCGGTCTGTACAGTCGAGCAGTATCTCAGCCCACATACAAATCAAGTGTGTGGTGCCCCTTTGTGCCAATATTTATGTTTAATTCAATAAATCGTCTACTAATATTGACACTTGCACAAAAAGACAAAGAATAAAAGGTGGGGAAGTTGTGCTTAGTTGCCGTTATTAATTAAAATTTTGGTAGCCTTAAGGTTGTTTCATCAGTTTATTTATGAGTAAGCTTCTGTATAAGAAGAATATATATGTGTAACACCAGTTTTCAACTTGCTTTTTACTTGTCACAAATCGTTTCCCGATTCTTTACTGATTCAAAAATTTTTCTAACACCTCAACAAACAAACCAAAAAATGAGTGGAAAAGCAGTTTAGATGCAGTGAAGCTGTTTTCATTGTTTTCTACTTCTGTATACATATTTCGTATTAATTCCCCACTCATTTTGATTGTGCTTGAATTCACGATCTCGTGGATCATTTAAAGCTTCTGGTGATGAAAGTCTTCTGTTTGGTACTTGCTTTAAGTCTCTAGATTATGTATCTGCAACTCCATAACTTTCAAAGAATTTATTATAGTCACCTATTTCACATTTTCTCTTTTTTTGTCTTCGGAATTTATATATTGGCATTTTGAAATGAAATTTAGGTTGAACTTTATTTCAGAGCTCATTTCCGTTGTTGGTAACAATGCTAGTATGTTTGTGAAAGTTCATATCAAAAATGCTTCTGTAATAGCCTATTCTGCTGCAGCAATAACGTGTCATCTACTAAATCATCTGTTCTAAAAAATATGCACATCAGCAACTAATTACTTTCTTGCTTTTCGAAAAAACACTCATCTGGAGAGCATTTTACACGTTGATATTAGGTTCAGCGTTTCTATCGTGATAACATACTTAACATCCTAAAAGACGTTTTGTTGTCATTCATCTGATGCTTAGTCACCATGTCCTTTTTCATATTTTCCCGTTATTATGTTTTGTCCTCTAATCGTATTGTGTTACATGTTAACTTGAAACTGCTTTCGACTTTTTTGTACTGATGTGGTATGTATAATACTGATTATTGAGCTTCATTGGCAGATAAGTTGAATATCTTAACGTTCTGGTTGTTTGCTTAGTTCGTTCAACACCTATTCAGATTGTCTACTGAATTTAATGCTTCATATTTAACTATTTATTATTTTTAAAGTAAATTTCGCTATAATTTTTGTTTTCTGTTGTGCTTTCATGCTTTGTAGCAGTCTTAACATACTGTGTGTCCATTTGTTCTTCATATATCGCAAATTTTAGGTTTGAAGGTTTGTGGCTCTGGATTCATGTGTTTTAAGTACTATTGTCTAACATTTCTACTTATTAACTGCAGTGAACCGAAAGTTTGTACGACAAAGTGATGTCGAGACCTATCTCTGTAGTAGTAGTTGAAAGACACAATGAGGTAAGGCATTCAATACATTATTCAAGGTTTTAAATTATATATACCGGGCTATTGGAAGCAAAACAATTTCCTTCTCTGGATTGAAGCTATTACATTTTGACTCTCATCCTGATATGGGTGTTCCTGATGTTGAATGTTCAGAAATTTTGAGGGACCCTGAACAACTCATGAAGTTTGTTTTGTCGTCTTAACGTTTCTCAAACTCCAGGAAAGTAAGCATAGAAAACTGGATAACACCAATGATATATGCTGGTCATGTCGACCATGTCATCTGGATGCACCCAACGTGGTCTCGACAGCTCCTGAATAGGAAGCCAACATGCTATTCTATCGGTGAAGACCTATGCACGAAAAGATTAGTGTAAGTTTTTTTTTTCTTCGGACTGAAGCATCACAACATGGTGCTATCTAGCTTATGTGGTGTATGTGGCTTATCATTCCTCGTTTTAACATTTAACGTAAACACTGAAAGATATACAACTGTCACATTAACCCTACCTTTTGATTATTTCAGTATAAGGGTACTATATAAAATAATACTAGCGGAAAGTACTCACTATGAACATTTGTATTTATTGCCATCAGAACTCTGTTAATGATGATTTTTATTGTTAATATATTATGCTTATGGTTTTAGAGATCGACCCGCACGAACATTTGTTGTCATATTCATACTACAAAAATGTTAGTATTCTGTTATATCACTAAACCAACACAGCATGTTCTGAATATTTTGGACGAAGTGTAGGATGTTTAGAAGTTTTTGTGAATTGGTAATAGTGCTTTTGAACTTACACAGTATACCCCATAATTTGTAAATACAATGTGAACCGGGTAACAGACTTCACTCATCAAGTAGTTACTTCATCCTGATAGTCAACGAAACTCCGGTATTGATATTGCACGGCAGCCTGCATTTTGCTATCCTATAGTCAGTCAGTCAGTAACGACGTAGAACTTCGTACGTACGTATATCAGTTCGAGTTGCCACATCACATTAGCACAGAAATGCAGTAGTCGATTCAAATCCCATAGTGCTAGATGTAGTAAAATTATAAGTTGTAATTAGAAAAATTAGGGTTTGAAGATGTTATTCAAGGAGTATAATCCAGTGAAATAAATTTGAGAGGAAAAAAAAAGAGACAAGGAGGAATAAGGAGATCAAAATTTGGGAGAACACAGAGAGTGGATGCACCTGCGCCATTGCAAACGATTTTGAGCCATGTCATTCATGGTCTCTAACTATCGGTTGCTATCATCTCGCGGTCCCCAACCAGGTAGTCTACACCTACCAACATGACTCAGACCACTTGTCAGTGACTTCATGGACTTGTGCCATGTTTTGGTCTGGCCGTCCCTAGCTTTCTTCCAACCTACTCCTATACCACTGAACATCGCACATCGAGGCAGTCGGTGGTTGGGCATACGTACCACGTGTCCAAGCCATCTCAACTGATGAAGTTTCACTACGTCATCAATTGATTTGCCATCCTAACCTAGTACCCGTTTCCTAACAACTGCATTACCTAGTCGATGGTCCCACGATATACGAGCAATATTTCGAAGACACCTATGATCAAATACTAGTAACCTACGAATATCCTCTACTCTTACCGGCCATGTTTCACTGCCATAAAGTAGGACGGAACGAACTGCTGCACAGTAAACACGTCCTTTGTTTGATAGACGGATATCTCGCCTACGCCATAAGTGACGCAAGTTGGCAAAAGCTAGTCGAGCCTTCTGTATCCGTGCAGAGATTTCGTCACACACCAGACCATAAGGGCTGATGAGACTTCCAAAATAAGTGAAGCAGTCGACACGCTCAATTACTTCACTCCCTATCATTAGTTCGGGTGTCGATGCAACCCAATCCTGAAGCAACATTTTGCATTTCGAGGGAGAGAATCGCATGCCGAACATGCTTGCATTGTTGCTTAGAGTGGTCAGAATACTGCATTTTGTCAGCGTCTTCGCCAAATAAAACTATGTCATCAGCATATTCTAAGTCAACAAGTGGACCTCCCGATAGAAGTTCAACCCCTGGAAATTTAGATGAGGAGAGTGTTATCTCTAAAAGTACGTCGACGACAAAGTTGAACAAGAATGGAGAGAGTGGACAACTCTGACGAACACCACTTGAGGAAACCAAATCTGATGACAGTTCGCCATAAGCTCTCACTCTACCAGTTGTGTTTGAGTAGAGAGCCTTTATAAGGTTAATGTACTTCTTTGGTACTCCTTTCAGTGACAAACACTGCCATAGAACCTTACGATCAACAGAGTCAAATGCCGCTTTAAGGTCGAGAAATACTATGATTGTGGGGCGTCTGAATGTGTGTCTGTGTTCTAGGACCTGGCGTAGTGAGAATAATATGGTCTATACAACCACGTCCAGGTCGAATACCGGCCTGGTTTTCTCTAGTCTGCTCCTCACGAGCTTTGGTTAGGCGTCGAAGTATTATTGAAGCTAACATTTTAGACACCATATTAGTTAAGCTGATTGCTCTGTGATTGTCACAAGAGGACTTTTGTCCTTTCTTATAGACTGGCACAATCAGTGATTGAGACCAGTCAGATGGGATTACGTCCAGTTTCCAAATTCTACCCAAGACCTCAGTTAGTCTCACTGCTAATACTGAACCACCATCCTTAAAAATCTCAGGAGTAAACCTGTCAGGGCCTGCTGTTCTCCCTCACTTCAGATTTTCTATGGCTTTTCTATAGCAGAGAACAATCATCACTTATAACAAAAGACTCCACGTCATGGGCATTTATACATAAGTATCTCAATAGTACTATTTTTGCGACAAAACAGATGAATGATCATTCTGGAGTTATGTACGGAGGGCAATGTAAGTCATTTGATATTATAGTTAATTAAAAATTCCCTGTATCTTATAACGAAACTCTCCACCGTTTCGGAAGTTTGGTTTACGTCAGTTTTTATCATTACATCATTCCAATAGTACATTTAATTTTATTCTACACCTCTTCAAAGTATGGATGTCTGAAAACTCTCAAATCACCATTGTCTTCCAACAGTTGTCTTAATATCATTATGTAAAAATATCGTGGGATCCGGCGACACATGTCTAGGAGTAATTTTCCTGCTTCTGTTTGCTCAGCTGGGCATTATTCCGGCCCTTAGACAAATTGAATGGCGAAGTGTGGCGCATATATGTTTGGTGCCTCCTTGTACTAATGAAGTAGGTCCCCCAACTCTAGCAGAAGTTCAAAAGGCTATAGTTAATCTGAAACGAGGAAGGGCTGCTGGTCCAGATGGATTGGCTCCAGAGGTCTTTAAGGATGGTGGTCCAGTTTTAGCGATTAGGTTGACTAATATTTTAGCTAAGATCTGGGAATTAGACGTCATCCCATCTAACTGGTCACAATCACTTATCGTCCCAATATATAAGAGAGGATTAAAATCATCCTGTGAAAACCATAGAGGGATTAGTTTAACTAATATATTATCTAAAATACTAGCCTCGATAATTATCAGACGCCCAACTAAGACACGTGAACTACAAACACGAGAGAACCAAGCTGGCTTTAGACCTGGTCGTGGCCGCATCGACCACATATTCACCATTCGTCAGGTTCTAGAACATAGGCATACTTATCGGCGTCCGACAATGGTGGTCTTTCTCGACTTAAAAGCAGCATTTGACTCGGTAGACCGCGAGATTCTGTGACAGTGTCTGTCATTGAAAGGCGTACCCCAGAAGTACATAAACCTTGTAAAGGCTCTTTACTCGAACACTACCAGTCGTGTCAGAGCTTATGGCGAACTGTCATCTGCTTTTGCAACCTCAAGTGGTGTCCGTCAAGCTGTCCACTTTCCCCATTTTTGTTTAACTTCATCATAGATCTACTGATGGAAATAACATTCTCGTCGACTGAGTTCTCGGGTATTGATCTCCTTCCTGGAGGTCCACTTATCGACTTAGGATACGCAGATGACATAGTCCTGTTTGGTGAAGACGCTGACAAAATGCAGTCTTTTGGTAGCACTGAGCAACAATGCCAGAATGTTTGGAATGCGCTTCTCTGCCTCTAAATGCAAGTTGTTGCTTCAGGTCTAGCCTGCGTCAACACCTGAACTAAGGATAGGGAGTGAAGTAGTCGAACGCGTTGACAACTTCACTTATCTTGGAAGTCTGATCAGCCCTAATGGGTTGGTGTCTGACGAAATCTCAGCACGGATTCGAAAAGCTCGCTTGGCTTTTGCCAACTTACGTCACCTATGGCGAAGGCGAGATATCCGTTTATCAATAAAAGGACGAGTATACTGCGCGGCTGTTCGTTCTGTTTTAATTTACGGCAGCGAAACATGGCCATTAAGAGTAGAAGACACTCGTAAGCCACTAGTATTTGACCACAGATGCCTTAGAAATATTGCTGGCTTCTGCTGGGATCACCGGGTAAGTAATAGTGAGGTTAGACGCAGGGTATTAGGGAACGATGGTAGGTCAGTTGATGAGGTTGTGAATCTTCATCGACTGAGATGGTTGGGCCACGTGTTACGTATGCCCGAACATCGATTACCACGACGTGCGATGCTAACCGGTGTTCGGGATGGTTGGAAGAAAGTTAGGGGCGGACAAACCAAATGTGGCATCATTGCTTGAATTCACCAACTTTTAGTCTGAGCCATGTTAGTAGGTGCAGATTGCTTGGTTGGGGTCCGCGTGACTATCGTAACCAATGGTTGGAGACTCTTGGTGACATGGCTCAGAATCGATCACAATGGCGTCGGTGTATACACTGTCTTCCCTCAAACTATGAGATTAAAGTCGCTTCATATCTTCCGTTCTACGAACTAATTCTTTCTTCCTGTACTATATCCTTATTGCAATATTTCTTTTATATATTACCACCTCTGAATTGACTACTTTTATGAATCCGGTGTCCATCTTGTTGTGTTAATGAGGTATGACAACTTGTACTGCTGCATATATGTGCCTGGTCCTACGTTGTAGCTGACTGACTGACTAATGTTTATGTGTTTCAATAAATAATAGTAATAGACGTAATGGTGAAGACTTCATAAATGTCGCTACTTTGAAAATCGAACTTTGTTCACTTGTTTTGCATACAAAGTTCCAACTGCTTTAATGCTGCGCATTGTTTAGTGATTCTGGTTAAAAAAACGGCGAACCTGTTAGTTCACGACATATTGCCTCAGAATAATGGATGATATAATAAATGCTTGATTCCCTGAGGTTTTATAGTCTCGAGACGGTCGTAAGTCAATCAGAACAAAAGTCAGTTGAGTTCTTGTCGGGGTTTTTTATTATGTTCATAAACAGCAGTGCTTAATTTCGTAAAATATAAGATTACTGTTGGGTGCTTTGGGTGACCAAATGTTTCTTCACTCATGTGTCTCATACACCTTATTTATTTATTTATTTGAACACATGAATGTTGGCACAAAGGGGCACTGAATGCATATGCATCACAAGCCACTTGATTTGTATGTGGGCTATGATATTGCCCGGGTGCCCAGACCAAAGCAGGTGGTTTTCTTAGGAAGTCACACCCGGAGCCTTTGACCAGAAGGTCTGATCCACAAGGCAGTGGAGCATCGTAAGGAGATCCAGTCCCATGGTAGCCGATGACCAACGATTGGTTCATATGCCATTTGTTATTTTAGGATACTCGAACCATGTGCACCATGGGTTTGGAGTCAGGGTTTTCCAACTCCACTAGGTGGACTCTTTGTCCACCAACCCGCTTAAAGCTCCGGACATCAGCTTTTCGTGCTCTCAATTTCGTAAACAACATCCTCGCAGCAAGAAGGCAATGAGTAGGATTTCCTTGTCAGCGGCTGTATACGCGTGTCCATGTGAGAGCATTTCGAGAGGGAGAGCTGACTTTTCCCACTCTCGGTCGTACCAGGGACCGCTTCATTTTGTGGCTCCTTATTCCCACTAATCCATTATATAAAACGTTTTATGTTGTGTAAAATATTCGTTAAATCCATAGAGGATGAAGTTGTTAAATAAATAAAAGCTGATATATTTCGATGTAAGAAAGAAAGCAAAGAAGACAGATAGGGATTTGCCATATACCAAAAATAAATTGAAGATATGTCTAAACACTGTTTTTTTATATATTTTTTACACTGATCAGTAATCAGATTTCGAATAGGTAAATTGAGTAGCACTTGAAGTTAATTAGTATGTAACTTACTGTATGTACACAATTTACAATACCATAAGTTGGGCGATCACGAACTTTTGAACCACTGTCCGGTTCTACCAAATTAATCTTAAACAGATCTTAATTTCTTCATTACCAAGTATTGCGCTTTGCTTTACGTCTTAAATTGAAGTTAAAATTGGAGACTGACTTTGAAATCGCTTTTTTTCTGAGATGCTACAAACTGAAGATTAAGGGAACTTCGCAGTCAATATCTTAGTTAACTGTTTTTACCAGCTTTAAGATTTTTATGTATTTTATCCAGTAACTATTTGATTTCACCAGTTATTTGTATAGTCTATAACATCAGACAGGTGAAGCTACTTTGCTCCTGACTTCATGAGGACCACTGTTTACATCGACGCAATGGTTCATAATCAAGCAAAATCACTCAAATTTACTCTTGTTTTGTAAATCTTCAATACTTATTACTTTCTCTACCTACTGTCAATCTTCTAGTTATATACTAACTTTATAAGCCTAACAGTTTACTACTTGTTCTTTCGGATAAATTCACCTATTATGTAAACTGTCTGTTAGCTTCTAGATAAATTTTTACAAAAAATGTTTGACTTCTTAAGTGATTGCATGTTGGAAATCTCTTATTATTTAACTGATTATCAAACTTTAACATCCTTACAAATTTATGTTGTAGGGTTGGCATCCCTGAGTCCTATTTCTATAATGATGGTGTATTCTGTATGGAGGAGGATATTAGCTCTCCTGTGAAATTCGGGCTAACAGTTGCTCCAATTCATGAAACAAATACGTTATGTAGAGTGTGTACAGATATCATATGTGTATTGCTTAACCAGTCTTTTATTCTGGATATTGATTTGGATACTTTTTCCACTCAAAACCCACTTTCTAATAAGTTTACAGAGGAACAAGTAAGCTGTCATATTTATGTATTTCAAATTCGTGTGTTATCATATCTCTGCAGAATAAATTCGAAATTACATATCTATCGATTATCAATAAAACATTTTACTATTCTTCTATCATTCAGAGCATGTAATGTTTCAAAATTTACCAGTAGAATAAATCTCAACCGTGTGCGATTTTCTACAATCGCATTTCCTAGGTGTATGATACTCTTACGAAACCTTTGGATGACATCCAAATATGGTTGTTCATTTGACTACATCTGACCCATATAATAGATCCTCACAACCCATCGTTCATATACCTTAAAGTTGCCATGCCAACTTATTTTAATCTTCCAAGTGTAGTGCTGGCGATGTAAATCTTGATCACAACTAGTAAGAGAAAATTAAGCTAAGAATTACTCATTAATTTTAAACGTGACTTCCATCTGTGTGATTTTCAAATGATTTTGTGTCCAAGTGATATTTATTCGGTTCGATAATTTTCGTAATTAATAATCGCTGAACTTATATGATACGTAAATAAATACACTCAAATGTGATTTGATTTTTTTAAAACGTTTTTATTAAATAAATCTCTCATTCAAAATAGTTGCGTTTAAGAAAGAAATAAGCTATAGCATCCATGTTTGAAGTATAAGCGTAAGTGTGGTCACCTCAACTAAATTACAGGTATAGCTTCGACTTTGAAATAGGACATTGCAGTTCTGGTCTCGATAACTATCAATAGTTTCACCTGGACTATTCAGTTCAATACTACTTGTAAGAACCTGTTGCCCTCTGTTTCACTAAGTACAGTTCAAATAAAACTCAGACACATATGCAGTCATTGTACCATCCAACTAAATTGTCTTCATAGAATTACTTCTAAGTGTGGATTTTTGTATTCCATTTCCGGAAACAAGGATTAGTAGTTTTTCTGTTATTGTACTGTGACAACCATCTGTTTATAATGAGTATCAAAACTAAATTGATTGAGATACATTGGTTATCACGATAACCAATTGCACGAGAAAACTGTATTACCATCAAAGTCGTCGGAGATCAACAAAGTGGTGTCACTCCAGGATTGTATATTTGGACTCCGACTATGCTGTAGTATTAAAAAGTACAACTGTACGCCTTGTTGGCAGCTGGGAAGTATGGAATAATACAACTTCTATAAGGTAGGGTCACGAATAAATTTAATAACAAAGACATATCTAAATAAGAACAAACTAGGCACTTAGTTGAAGCATGAAATCTCCTCTGAGATATCCTTGGATGATCATAACTGGTGTAAAAACGTCTGTTATCAACATTGAGTTAAAAGTCAAAAATTAAGTATATTTGCGCAGCTTTTTAACTGACGTCTTTAAAAGTTCATCAGTAGTTATAACCAATCTGAAATGCAGAAGAACAACAGATTTTTGCTGAATAACTTTACATATCTTTAAGAATAGTGATCTATAGTCATGATCTGAAATAATTGATCTCAATCACTGACCTTCCTAGGTTACATAAACAAACAGGCTTCTTATCAATAATCAATAGTTAGACTTCTGTTCATCTATCTAAGACTGACTCATATTTTTGCATTTTGTTACAAAAAGTGGTTAGTTGATGAGGAATCGTAAGTGGAGTTTCAGAGCACCAACTCATTTTTCGAAATAATAACAACAGTTTTCTTCTAGCCATATTACTTGGTTATTTTTATTTACTTAATTTAGCTGAAGTTTAATTTTTTGTAATATAACGGGCGAATAGAAGTATTTCCTGCTTGCCACGATATACTAATATTATAAGATGATACGACTGGTGATCGAAATTATATTACCACTAGACTGGATCACGTTATACTGAATACGCGATTTACGATCATAAGTAAGGAATTAGAGCGTAGGCTAAACAATACTTTATTCGACACAATTACAGGGAGTCTGTGTTTAGTGAATCCAGAGTAGAAATTGTTATTAGAAAGGAAGTCACACATTAAACAGTAAGTGTTTACCTGTCTAAAATCAGCGATCACTCACATCTTACCTTTGCTAGCCACACATCAGTCTGATAGTAAGTCCCTTTAATACTTTGCAAGGGTTTTTATTGGATCCCATATACTTACAACCAATTAGTAGTATTGATATTTTAAGGTGTGATATATTATTGTTTTAAAACTGTCTTTGATTTTAGTTCGAAATTATCGATCGCTTGTATGCTCCACCTCCACCGCTTACTTTGTGTTTGTCTCCGAAAGATTTGGAAGATCCAGCCGTTATTGTGGCTCATGGTATGAGCAGTGCTCATGTTCTAAATGCTGCTCGAAAACGTCAACTAACACGTCTTTCACAATGGATTTCTTGCTGGGATCGTGGAACAATTCCGTCAACTGAAGATTTTCTTCTATTTCCGTATGAATTAATGGAGTTTTCTCGATTAATCCTCTCTCTGACTGAACAGAAATTTAGTTCTACTGTCTTAAGAGCAGTTAAAAAAACTCTAGATTTAGCTTACAAGCAAACTACTCATAACAAAAATCCGCCATTGATTTCACTCGGTTCCGATGATGAAACCATTCAAAATGCTTTAAGTAAGTTTTTCTTGAAGTACAATAAATTTAAGCTTCAAACGTTTAACATCATTTTTATTTCACCCACGAATTACTCAACTTTTTAAAATTTTTATAAAAAGGTTTTTCTTTGTAAGTTAATATAAATAGTGAAAGAACAAACTGAAGCAAAACGAGTATTAGTTTGGTAGTTGCTTTTTGGTTACTTTGAAATGTACATTTTATTTATTCATCTTTTCAAAATATAGTAATTTGGTCAGTTAGAAACAACGTAGAAGTTCGTACGTACGTACATCAGTTCGAGTTGCTATATCACATTAGCACAGAGATTCAGTTGTCGATTCGAATCCCGTAGTCGTAGAGGTAGTAAGATTATAAGCAGTAATCGGAAAGACTAGGGTTTGAAGATGTTCAAGGAGTATAATCCAGTGAAATAAATTTGGAAAGAGAAAAAAGAAAGGGATATGAAGAATTCAGAAGATTAGAATTTGGGAGAACACCAAGAGTGGATGCACCTGCGCCATTGCAAACGATTTTGAGCCATGTCATTCAAGGTCTCTAACCGTCGGTTGGTATACTCTATCCTATGTGTTCGTGAATATGATAGACCAGTTAACGTGTGTCACAAGATTTTTAATTTAACCTTCAGTTGCCGTCTACTTTTTAACTGATATTATCTTTTAATATTATAAATATATAACATCCTTCATTCTGTATAGTGTTCAGTATTGTTAACAATAATCGTCATCTTTGCTGAACTGTAAGATTAACTAGATTTCCGGATCATTTTAAATATTGTGAAGTTCTTTCAAACTATCTTTAATTTAAAGGAAACTTAAATTTAGCTTATAGATCAATTGAAACTCAAACAAAAGTTATCATCCGTGGTGAAGAAATTATAAAATTGTAATATCTCAGTGATTGGGAAATTGGATTTCTGACGTTTCACGGTTGTTTCTTCACAAATTAAATGCATAACAAATAAACCAATACAAATTTGAATAGTTCATAAGGTGAAAAACAGAATATGTTTAGTTCAATTAAATTAAGTCGGGTCACTTTCATGTCATTGTGGTCAAATGTGATTCTTTACGGGACATACTTCTGTGTATTCTAGTGAGTGTGAAAAAGTATTAGATTTGTAGTGTTGACGAGTGAAGTTGAGTAGTTGTGCGTTTATTCATCAGAAATATGTGATTCGATTTGGGTCATAGACAAATGAGCAATAATAGACCATACATATGGTTTCATCGACAGTACCATCCGACTACATATCTGGCTCAGATAAGTAAATGATAAATTTATCGTTATTAAAAAGGCTTTTTTTAAGAATATTCTGCAGTGTCAAATACTAACATAGCTTTACTCAAACTTATTTAATGAATGGAAAATAAACTCAATGAAGTACTAGTTCCAAACTATTGGGTCGAAAGAGATTCTAATGCAAATCTAACTCTGACCGTGTGCTGAAAACTGAAAAGTTCAAATTGGCATATTGCCTTTAACTCAATACACCCATTCAGTTCACAAATTTCACTGTTTGTAAATTTATTCAAAAGAGCAACCAAAATTATTACATCGTAACAAGAGGAACAAATCAAAGAGAAGAATATAGTTAGCATTCTACAGTTTCGGAATTTACTCATTAATATTATTTAAAATGTACTAAAATCTAATGATCTGTTGTTAAGTAATGAGTCAAATGTAATATCATGAGTTGGTACTGTAGTTTTACTCTATCGCCGCGATACAACAGAACTGCAACATATCTATAAACTACAAAGAATTAAAGCTTTCTATCAGATGACCGACATGCTTCAGAACGCTTTAATTTAAATAAACGAAAAAATCTATCACTCCTCGACACATAATTATATCTACAGATTAGGATTTTTAGATTGTGATGGTTCCTATATTAGATGGTTATGTTGTAGTGAGTTCTTTGGCAAAATGTGAAGACCATACGTTCAATACTTCATTTGCAAATCCCCCATCGATTGTCTCAAATTTCATCGCTTTTTCATTGCCATAACAATTACTAACTGTTCCCGTTTTCTTTTATTCGATCTTCCCAACTTGTTGCTGCCAGGCATTTCACCTCTGATTTGTGTTGTATACTACTTATGTCGACATAAATAGAATACATCACAATGTCGTAAAAGCGCGACTCACACCAAGGAAGATTTAAGCTACACAAAAGACCTCTTAATAATCCTGTTGAACTTGTGAATCTTCGAATCAAATCAGCAGTATGAGTACATTCAATTCTGAACGCCCACCAAATCGATATTAATAATTCAAAAACGTTTTTCCAACTGTAAAGGAATGTGAGCGGCTGAAGCTCTTTATATATTGCTGAACCCCACTGCATACAGTAAAACCCAAAAAATAACTATCCATCCAATTTGTATTATTTATTTATGAAACCACATATTTATTTCTGTTCACATCTCACACCGCTAAAAAACATACAAATATTCAACTCTGTTCGTAAACACTACAAGTATCATACTTTTTCACACTCACTAAAATACGCGTATGTGTGTCTTATAAAAAATCACGTTTGATCGTACTAACATGAAAACAATCCGATTTATTTTTATTGAACTAAAAATATTTTCAAGTGTTGTGATGGTTCTTGAGTTTCATTACAACCACAAACCCATCAATCAACCACTGAAGACTTTGAATTACGAGATGGCCGTGTGAGACCGGAGGCTCTGGGTTCGCTTCACGCTTGCGCAATCGTTGATGTTTGTAGCTAAGAAGTCCCGTGCTAGGATGAAATGACCGTCCAGTGATTCCAGGTTTTAAATGGTGGTCTAACATCGATCAGTTCTAGATTTCAACAAATATATGCTGCTTTGCTTCTTATGTATTATTTAAACTTGTATTGGTTTGATTTTTTAGTTATTTATTCTGTCAAGAAACGACTCAAAGTAAACCGCAAATCTTTAGGAATCTAATTTCCCACTCATTAGGATATTACGAATTTATATTTCATTACTAACAATCTACTCAATGCTCGATTTGTTTGGTATTATCAGGTCACACCTTGGTAATAATACATACCAATTATTGTGGTTAGTTTGTTTAAGCTTATAGGTTAGGCTTACTGTTTTATAATTTGGAATTAAGTTTTCAAGAGGGATTGGATAACTCACATAATGTAACCAGTTATTCGTTGAATTTGCGTCCTAATTGCTGTTTTACCAAATGCTTAATCGTAATTTTACTTAATACAGATGGTGTGTTTAGGCGATGCGACTGTTGACTTCGGAAATTAGGTAGAAATATTACGGACGAAATAGCTGAGACGAATGATTTAAGCAAATTTTCTATAGGAGTTACTCCCTAAATTATTATTGTATTTTTGTGTATAGTTACTTAGTTATTCCACTGTGGAATCGCTTGGTAGTTAAAACTTCATTTCTTAAACTTATATATATATATATATATATATATATATATATATATATATATATATATATATATATATATATATATATACATATATATATATATATATATATTCCATTCCAGAAGAATTCACTAAGGGCCCTGATTCCAACCTGACCAGCAGCTTACTTTTGGACCAAAACACCTCGGAAAGTAAAGATTCTTCATTTGTATCGGATTACACTAGCTTTATACCAATGAAACGTCGTTCCAGTAGTCCTGGCAGTGTATATACAGATTCAAAATCAAAACTTCGTTCATCCGAACCATTTGTAACATTTAATAATACGAGTCCGGCTGAAGTTGATGAAAATTGTCAATCGTCAAACACTTCTCAGTATTCTATGGAAGTAGATGATGCGGATACTTGTAATCATAATGGTTTAAATGAAAATCGTAGTTTAAAAGTAGTTTTAACTAAATTGGAATCAAATCCAAACACATCTTGTATAATTGATGATGACAATGAGGGTGGTGATGTTCTAAGTGTTCAACAATCTGCTCCTCCTCTATCAAATAAATATAATGAAGAAAATCTGAATTTTATGCATTACTTATGGTCCGGGTGCGCAGATCAAAAATACAATGCATTGCCACATTCTGTAAGTTTAATTATTCTATACTTTTTCAACTAACTATTAACTGAACACCAATACTGTTGAAATTTTGGCATATATGAATGTCACCAGGTGGAGTTCGAGATAAAAGTATGCAAACATGTGAATTAAATAAAAGAATAATATGAGGATCTTGATGAGTGACATAATTTTAAAAAAGCTATATCAAATATGTTAATGTTATGAAAGTTAGAATAAACACAATAAATTCAAAAATAAACGTAACGTATTTTCAACAATACAGTATTGCTGTGGTGTTTTGCTGATGTCGACAGATATAAGTAGTATGTGTCATCAACCGAAAGCGGAATGCCTGGTGACAGAAGGTTGAGAAGATCCAATAGAAGAAAATGAGAACAGAGAGTGATTGGTATATGAAAATAAAGAAACAATAAAGTCTGAGACAAATGATGGACATTTTGCCAATGAATTATTTACTGTATGGTTTTCAGATTGTACTAAAAGATTCTGTAATTTTGCATTCAAATATATTTGGTTATCCTCACTTGTGGTCTCGTTCACTACATTGTAACATAAAATATAGAATTCCTCACTTATATATGAATACAAAATATTACTACTATTTTGACAATGATTTTTTTAAAAAGTGTCATATACAAAAATTCTATAGTTCAATTAATCATGTATGATTTATTTATGACCAACAGACAGATATTTGCAGCATAGAGTCTGACATATGTGTATTTGTACTAAGAGATTTTGTTTTTGAAACTGTTGTGGATGCGCAGGAATAGACCAATAATTATCATGTTAAGTCCAGTGGTGTCCTTGGACTTTAAATGTACATTCCCTATTGGCTATTATTTATTCATTCGTTACATATTGACGTAAATGTTGTTTACTATTTTTATGGTACGCTGTGGTATGCTTGACTAGTATATAAACAAAGTATGTTTGAAATATAGTGATTCATATCTCCGAGGCTGTGACTTTTGTTCTCCACTCAACTGGCTAGGACAGACAGCGGGGCAGGGCCAATCAGGGCACTAGGTCGTCCTTACGTGTTTTCCGTGTCACTGTACTGCGATCGATCAATAAATACGCTGCTTATCAAACCCTGCAGTCACATCAAAAGTCATAACAATTGGCGACGGGGTGGAGAAAAATTTTGAACCTTGTAATTGGACGAGATTCAGGTTAATTGTTTCGACCAATCAGCATCCAGATTGTCACCAGCGTCCTTGAGCAACATTGGTCATTATTCCTACAGTTAATTTTCATTGCAGGTGCTGAAAAAAAAATGACTACCTTTTCCGATCGATTACAGCTTCTACTTGAGCAACAACAGCAGTGCTTCAAAAATAGCCAGTTAAATTTTTTAGAAAATTTACGCACACTGTTGGTAAATGTTCCATGTTTCGGAGGTGCAACAGAAGTTGGTAAATTCATTTCTCATCTGCAGACTGAGCTGGAAAACAACTGCAGAACATATGAAGCTGTTTATAAAAGCCTCTGTGAATCCCGGACGACCAGTGATGTAAACGAGACAGTTATTCATGGTCCGCCCAGTTGTCCAGAAATGTCAAATTCCGAAACGTTCCCTGTCGTGGGTTCAAATCCCACTGTTCCTGAAACGTGTACAGACAGTGATGTACCCAGCTCACAGGAGGATCTCTTATTAAATGCTCATAAATTAATTGCAGTACCCGCCCACAACGGAACAGGGAACAAATCGTGCGGTACACTGAATCCAGCTGTTTCAAATGGTCCTCATCATTCAACAACAGGAGATTCTGACGAATCTTATTATCTAGATCTTTTTGTACCAGAAAATGTGTTAAATGCATTAAATGATGATCAGAAATCTAATACAATTTTGATAGATGTTGATTATCGCAGTGATCAACTGTTTACAAATGAGATTTTCAACAAATCCCGTGACAATGTTCCAGAAGAATCAAACGTTGGTGACCTCATATCAAGCGACATTGTTCCCCACTATTTAATCACTTTCAGTGACTCCCCTGTTCAATCTGACAATTATGTGTTAAATAAAGTCAAATTAATTCTAACTTGGGAATATGAGGACCCAACATTATTTCGTGGGGGAGGATGAACCCAGAAAATTTCAAAATCCGGATATCAACTCCGGATCTTCAAAAAAAAAGGGAGGTGTTGTGGATGCGCAGGAATAGACCAATAATTATCATGTTAAGTCCAGTGGTGTCCTTGGACTTTAAATGTACATTCCCTATTGGCTATTATTTATTCATTCGTTACATATTGACGTAAATGTTGTTTACTATTTTTATGGTACGCTGTGGTATGCTTGACTAGTATATAAACAAAGTATGTTTGAAATATAGTGATTCATATCTCCGAGGCTGTGACTTTTGTTCTCCACTCAACTGGGCTAGGACAGACAGCGGGGCAGGGCCAATCAGGGCACTAGGTTGTCCTTACGTGTTTTCCGTGTCACTGTACTGCGATCGATCAATAAATACGCTGCTTATCAAACCCTGCAGTCACATCAGTCATAACAGAAACTTAAATTATTGTGTGCTGATAAATCTTCTAAATGAACGCTAGATTCGGCTTCCTAAGGTCATTTGTAACCCCCAGGCTAAATCTACACAGCAACCTGAACACGAGAGAAAAGGCACGAAATATAGAAAAAATGCTTTTCTCCAAGGTTCATTTTTGTACAGAAAAACTAGGATATTTATAGCATTTTAGATGGCCTTGGGCTTCCATAGAATTCTCGAACATTACTAAACATAGTATCATTAAAGGTAATCATCCAATCAGAGACACAACGTGTGACTTTTCATTTTCTAGATGTTTCTGGCAAAATTTCTATTGAATGGTGATTGCATAAGATGTTTCTCAGCGTTTCCAGAGCTTTCTTCGAACTACCTTTTGTAGGTTAAATTAATTTTAGATGAAATATGCTGTAGTGAGGGTTTTCCTGTTCATTAAAAGTTTTTCTATTTCTTAGATAACCACTCCTAAAGAACAGAATGAGTTATGTGAGCAAATGGAAGGTTTGTTAAATCGTTTACACAATCCTTGTATGATTACGATTGCTAGATCTGTGTATGATGGTTATACTCCTACTGATCAAGTATCTACCATACAACTCGGTTTATTACAAATGCTTGATCGTGTTTATGGGCGTAATTTGCTTTCAGTCACTTTAGATTACGAAAAGTAAGTAATTTTTTTCTTGATTTCTCTTACAGTTTATAAATTGATCATTTTTGCCTGCAATTATTATGTCGTCCCTTATACAACTTATCGATAACTTATTGACTAGATTCTTTGAACAAAATATGACTTCATACAAATTCTTTAAACTCTTTATATCTCCAGAACAGTAAAACAAGAGAATACATTAACAAGAGGAAGAACATGTGAAAAAGTATCGACCTTCACTGAAGGAGCACGGAAAAGTGAAATGAGGTGTGGATGAATTAATTGCTCGTGATCTAAAATAGAAAGGGAACTAATTATCACATTTATTTCACTTAATAATTTTAAGGTATTCCACATCACTACTCATAGGAACAGTTAGTTTGGTTCCATTGACACAGATATCATTTATTGATCTTCATGTGGATACAGTTCGCAAAAATACATCAATATGTTGATAGACAAAAATAATGTCAAAACTGAAATAGATGTGATATTGTCACATTTCATAGCTGTACAACTAGAGGAAGCCAGCTAAAAAAAACGAAGGAACTAAAATGATTGTTCCCATAGGAATATGAAATTAAAAGTGGGATAATTTACAGTTAAAAAGAAACAGAAAAAAGGAGTTAGAGAAGTATGAAGTAATACTTCATATGAGATTCGAAGAAAAATATCTTCAGTGTAACAGGCGATTTTCAGTCGTATAATGTAAACTTCTTGAATGTGAATCAAAATTATACAAACTGAGATCAAGAAGTACACATCTCCACTTACAAACTGTTATAGCTTGTCAGTCGAATGCTGCCTGTGATATCTGGTCGTCGCTGATTGTTGTGTCGGAAACGCTTATCACCTATACTCGGAACGAGGACCTCTGCGATTCCCACGACGCGAAAGTAAGAACACAAAGTCTGGTATAAGTGAAGATTTATTAACCCCAAAACACGACGACGACCCTAGTCGAAAATACACTCATTTATATATTGATTGTACACACTTTGATTAACAATTAAGATGAAACCACATATATGAAAAATACTTAGTTATAAAAAATCACATACTGAGCATAGTTCATGTCAATGGAATATAAGAATATCGCATATTATACAGAATAAGATGTCATACGAGAAAAGAAAACAAATAATACATTCAGTAATCATTACATTGAATCAAAACGGAAGTAATGTTGAACAAAACTCATAGTGAGTTAATCAATCGAAAATTGACTTTTCTTTCCTTCTTATCACCTTCCCTTCTTTTTCTTGAAGACTCTATGTTGAGATCCATCTTTAAATTTTATGACTTCACAAACCGGAACAACAGTCAAGGGCTATGTCTATCCATACTTTATCTTGATATAGTTTCAAATGACATCCTACATATTTTTACGCTGACAAGTATAGTTCAGTAGGTTGATTGTTCCATATGTGTTAACCGTTCTAATTTGCAAAAATCTCACAATCTCATTAACGGAATATCTCTTACTTTAACCCAATATTGTATAAACAACTTCACTGCTGTTCCGTCGATACTCGTATTGTACGCGATATGGATGAATGCACACAGTACTTATACACATCAAGTTAGTTATTTGAATAGAAAAATATTAACACTTACACGTGTCTTTCACTGACCTTTTTTGTAAAGGTATTTACCATCTTAACCGATTAATCACGAAGTACTGTTTCGCATGAATTATCATTCTCTAAATTCTCCTCTTGAAATAAAAACAAAAGAAACTTCTGTTGTATGAGTAATCACCAATACAGAACATTTATAATGGTGATTTGGCTTTTAGCTGTTATATCTGTCTGATTGAATAACATTTCATTCGGTATACCTCAGAAGATTTAAAGATCAATTCAATTTTCACTATTTGATTCATCCGGAACAGTCGTGATTGACTGATATATTTACATGTTGAAGAAAATGGAGTTAAGTATTAAAAATTACGATTCTGTTCTCCTGAGTATTGCTTTTTTCAGTTGCTTATTTAGAGGAATAAGCGCAAGCCACAAAATGTTTTTTGGGCACATTAATTAATTTGTATCTAAAATATTCATTTCGGAACTCTACTTTTTGGCTGTATCATTGTCCAGTTTGATCTATTTTCTCGTACTTAATGGATTTGTCTATTTTAACGACAACGAATTCTATGCACTTCATGTTGGAGAAGGTGGACTTTTTAGCGCCCCCAAATGTCCTGGTACGACCGAGAGCGGGGAGAGTCCACTCTCCCTCTCGAAATGCTCTCACACGGGCATGCGTATATAGCCTCTACCAGAGAAGTCCTGCTCACTGCCTTCTCGTGGCGGGGGTGTTGTTTACGGAATTGAAAGGACGAAAATCGAATGTCCATAGCTTTAAGCGGGTTGGCGGACATGGAGAGTCCACCTAGTGGAGTTGGAAAACCCTAATTCCAAACCCATGGTGCACATGGCTCCAGTACTCTGAGGGAACAAATAGCATATGAACCAATCGTTGGTCACCAGCTACCATGGGACTGGATCTCCTTGCGATACTCCACTGTCTTGTGGATCAGACCTTTAGGTCGAAGGTTCCGGGTGTGACTTCCTAAGAAAATCACCTGCTTTGGTCTGGGCACCCGGGTAGTATCACAGCCCTCACGCAAACCAAATGAGATTTGTGTGGCGCGTATGTATTTGGTGCCCTCTTCTACCAATATCTATGTGTTAAAATAAATAAATAATAAATAAAAATTTCTAGCGCGAGATTCTGGTTCATAGTAATAGATGTAAATACAAAATCTAAGTTTTCATTTTCGTATTAATAATGTCTTCTAGTTAAGGGTATATACTTTCAGCATCTGAGACCATAATATGTATGTTTAAGCAATCAAGTCTGTCTCTTTCACCCCCATCTTAAATGTTTGGTTGTACTGATCCTCGATTATTCTTAACCAATTCCAATTTTTAATAGAGTATGACCATGTACATTATATAAAGTAATTCCTATTTTCACTCGACTAAAGTATAGCGTCAATAAATACAATAAAGGATAGAAATATGATCCATTTAGCTTTCTTGAATACTACTTATATAATTTTGATGTTTTACCTCAAATATATTAAGTATCAAAAGTCTGTTACTTACAATGTGATTTACATCTGCACTCCAGTCAAAAAGTGCTCCAAAACATTCACTTATAAACAGGTAGGTCTTTGGTTATCAGTAAAAATGCATTTCTCAAAAATACTACTATTCTGATACCATATAGGTCGTTTGGCTTAAATTTGTGAATTGTGGTAATAACGATGTCCATTTGAGAAATCTGAAGTCCATTCAGTTCCAAAGTTGATTTTGATACATACAACCAATTAAATTACAGTATGTAAAATATTATTGTTTGCTAGCCAGTAATCTGCGCATCTGTCTACTAATTTTAAATAATTCAATAGAGTTTGTGATGTGACTTAATTTATTGCCGAAACTCCTATATTAGAAAGGCATCAAGTTTTGAACTATTTCTCATTTTTGGATTATCAATTTGTTTTCTAATTTAGTAAATTAAAAGTTCAATGTTAACTTGGAAGTATATTTTAGTGATGTTTATTACAATAATTTTAGCTAGAAATCTTTGCGTATACTAATATTTATATACGTATCTAGTGATTCTTTTTTCTGCATCGTTTCAGTGCTGAAAGTGACATAGAAACACTGAATACAATGGGATTTCATATCGTTACTCCAGAAGAATTTCGAATGGGTGGTCGTCGTATATCACCGATGTCGTGCCTCGCAAGATCTGAAGGCACTAGTGTTGCTTATCGTACCGAACCCGGTCGAAAAGAAATAGTTTGATCTTATTTTTCAATCTGAACTGTCCTTCAGAGTTCCATAAACATTCGAAAAACCTGATATTTTAATGGTTTCATTATTTTCAAATGAACTTATTTGGATTTCTTTGGACGATTCACTCTATAAATTAAACGTACTTGTTTTGTTTACTCCCATGCATGAAATTGGACGTGGGTGAAAATAGACAGTTCTCCAGATTCTGAAATAAATGGGGATGTCTGTTTCAAGGTTTTTCATCATGATCTCGATATTATCTATACTCATCCTACTTTATTTCATGTAACGTTCACCTGGTGTTGTAATCTCTGAACGTGGCGTCATTAAACAAAACGTTTCCGTCATTGAGACGAATGGACTAATGATACTTTATTAACAGAGAAAATGTTTGTCACTCCCAGGACTACAAGTGACCTTTAGTTCTCATGCTCTACGCCCAATATTTCTGTTATAATGTCCATAGGAATTATCTCTATTCCATAAGAGTAATTCCATATTATATTGATTTGGTCCATAGTTGGACCGAAATCCCCTAAATTTTGTCAGAATAGGGAGTATGTACGGCTTCTTCACCTCACATTACTTGTCGGCCAATGAAACTTGATTCTACAGTGTTATATATACTCCAATGATTATGGATGAGATAGGAGCCTTGGCGTAATGTGTTTTTATGTGTAGTAGCAATTTTTGGACGGTGCGTATACGTAGTGTAGTAGATATGTAAGTTAGCCAGAAGCACTTCTGAGATTTTGTGATATGTTAAGTTTTCAGGATTAAATCGTGACTAAATGCATTCCAATAACAGAATACAATTTTAGATAGCTAGGATCTAAAACACATAATTCTTGTTTAATAACCATACTCCTGCAAGAGGTAGGTTGTGTGTATCGTTTGTAACGCCCTGGAAGTTATTTACTGTAGTCTAGTCAGCTCTCATTGGCTTCAATCTACCCTATTTAAGTTTCCTTTGGGTCCTCTATGTCATTAGAGTGGGAGTATTCCAGAAGACACTTGGAAGTAGTATTTTTAAAACTTAAAATAATGAGTTGTTGTACTGGGCCCGAATGGGTGTCTATTAGTTCTTGTATTATGATAAACTAAGTTAATCGCCCTGACCTTAAGTAGATCACTGTTCAAAATATACTTGAATTCAGTCGGTCAACGATAAATGGGTGCATATCTATGTGAGCTTATTGATAATGTGTGTGGCCAGTCCTATCTCAGGCTTTTAGAGTAGTGAATGTTAAGCCTACACAATTACATCGAAGGATTGTGGTCCACCTTTGGTAGCCCTGATGCAGCACTTTCGAAAACATCATTAGGGTTTCTGACAGTTGTGCATGTTCCGTTTGTAAGCAGTAAGACTTTGGGGGTACACAGTATATCCCCTTCGACGTTTGTACTTTACGCGTTCCATCCATCTCATACCTTGGATCTTTTGCAGTCGGGACTGTTGTTCATAGGTAGGGAGGTTGTATATCACATAAACATGCAAACACGGCTGTCGGAAGGTTCGTTATTAGTAGAGAACCCTCACTAAGACTAAACTATTGAGACGCGTATCGATAACAGGTAGTCGCATGGATTGTTCTGTCATCCTACACGGTACTGTTTAGTCTGGTTCACGTATGGTAAGAAGAGTTATCGCTATTTATCTCGAGCGTATGTTATGTCATCCGTTTTTGAATATCAGTGTGGTGTGCGTTGGCTCCAAATTATCTGTTACCGCGGCTTTGTTCCGGAAGTGAGAACAGCATGCTAAGGATTGCTGCAAGAAGTGAGACTGTTGTACAGTAGGGTGAATCACGTTCAAGCCAGGAGGTCTGTTCTCATCAAGATGCCGTAGTTTAAAGGTGGACCAGTTACATACATATATTAATTAATTCCCAGTGAGCATATATATTACTTTGTCAACAAGCTAATAATTCTACACTCATTAGATTGTCTTTTTGGGTTCATCAAATTCAAGCGTAAATTCTAGCTATCATGATGTTCAGGAAACCTATATACCTAAAGCTTTCTGGGTGACAAGTCTACGCTATCTTCAATCACGGTTCACTAAGGAGATTGTTGGTTCTGGTTCAGTCTTTTCACTTCCAGTTGTGCATTATTATTTGTCTGCATTCATAAGAATTTTGCGTAATGGTCGATTATTGTCACCGGAAATGCCTTGCGAACCGCGATTATTACAAATAGTGCTAGGAATATGCTTTAACTCGTATCTCTACCTACTGAACAACCTCTAGGTGTAGAATACATAAAGGCTTTCTTTAATGTGACAAACGTGTGATATGAATCCTTGATATTATTTATATAGTTAACTGTCATCTTTTTTCATGTGCGTCCCTAAATATGCATTTGTTTGCACACGTGTAACTGCCGACCTATTTATCTCATATCTTTTTGAGTATATAAATATTCACTCGTGAGTGCGTACTTCGATTATGTTATATGTTACACTCATAAAGTATTTGTACATTTACTCTTTCGGTCTGTCTTTATGTCAATACGTGAAAAATATCAGATTTACACATTATTATGTTACGAAGATTGGTTTAAGAACGAGAAATGAAATTAAAGAGAGATCTGTGCTTCAAAGACACGATGGGTTACTAAAAATAATTTTGAACTTAAAGTGTCATTTATGGAATTTTCACTCCCAAACATCATAAACTGGGTCCATTCAGAGTTATATTTGTAAGTGCGGCAAACATTTACGAAGTTTCATTTTAAGATATCACTAATTAAAGTGTCATCGGATTAGGTACATTTAGAAGTGCTCGCATATCACCTTCAGAATTTACAGTGAGTCATATAATGTGACAGGCTTTAACATCGGGGGACTAGCGAAGTTAACACGACAGATTGATTGGTTGGAATTAAAGCATTAAACAAATTTCCAGAAACTACATGGCTCTGTAGGTCCTCGACATTGAAGCTGGGTGCGTTTGTTTTATCGGACTCACCTAGCTCAGGACACTCGGTAACTCATCCGCACCACATCACGAGTGGGTAGGTCGATCTGTGCATCCATCTCAACTATTATTCAGCTCAGACCAAACTTTCCTCGACAAGCCGATAGCCTTTCAAATATATCTTCGAACTCCTATATTTCCGACCTCTGGTCTGACTGAGTTGGAATGTTTCGATGATAAAGGATTTACTGGTAAAGGTGTTGTCAAACTCCAAATACTTGTGGCGTTTTTAGTGGTGCGTTCGACGTGATCTGGTGTACCGACTCGTGAACTGCGAGTTTGTTATTCGTCGGAACTTCACATATACTTTTTTAACTTTTATTTTTGCATACTGTTTCCATATTTTGAATACTTTTTCTCGTTCGTTGGTATACTTCTTCAACAGGTGCGTTCAGTGCTTGTCTCATTTTAAAAAACGCTGTAGACGAACTGGTCACAGTTACCGATCGGTTCCTAGAGGTCACCTGAACCCCCAACTTCAAGGCTTTTTCTTTCGAAGTAAGGCCCCAAGCAATACGAAACGACATCACAAATTCCTAACGCAGTCTGACTCGTAATGTCGATGTTTGTCATAATCGTAAACGCTCTGAAACCATAAAAAGTATAAATCTTCTCGGAATTGCAGAAAATTGCAGTTTCCATGTATGGTAATTGATATGTTTATCTTAAATTGGGTTTACGCAAGCTCAGGACTGTAAGAATTTTCGCGCACATCTTTCGGTTTAAAAATACGGCACAAACTTTCCAGGGACTCATCGATGGTGTCTTTGGACGTCTCAACTTGGTATACGTGTGTGTAGATGGCTTTGTAGCGTGGCGTCGAGTTGAGATTAACTATGAACACCGCTACCAAGAAACACGTGCCAAGATAATCAGAAGGCGAAGGTTGGACGTAACCAAATAAATCCATAAAATCCCCGAGAAGCCAAATATCAGAAGGCAATTAATGGACCAAGTCGAGGTTTATTAGCTGGCGATCTCGTGGCATCGAAAGGATACCGAGATCGTGCCAGGATACAACCTTGGTTACAGAAGGTAACCGAATTCGCGCGAAGTTACAATCGAAGTGTAAGTAAAGAATGGAAGCACAAAATAGCTGTCATTAGCACAGTCAAACAAAAGCACGTTAAAACAAACACTGGTACAGTTGGTTATAATAATAATTGTTTTTATTAAACCAGTCGTGTTCTCGTGATAAATGTGAGTCACTACAGGAGCCCCCCGCTAGAAAGGGTTTACACTTTCGATAAATAGCGGTTTGAATCGTGGGACTGATCGGCTGACGAGCGATTGTAGGACGGAAGAATTGGCGAACAGGAAAGCGATCGTTGATCGTCGAGTTGCCAACGAAGGTCGTTTTCGGAGAACGGTACCAGGAGCGATGTGCTGTATTTGTTGCTTGAGTTGGCATGCTACACGAGAGTGGTTTGTATCCAGAATCTGAAGAGGGCGTTCGTAGGGTGCGGACCAGAAACGCTGCAGACGAAGGACGAAACCACGTTGAGCCAAAAGACCAGAAGCGACCATAACGACCAAGTTCGAGACCAAGCGTATGCCAAGCATTCGAAACCAAATATCGACTGAGTGCGTTGACAAGAGCGTGGGTGGCCAATCCAGCTTTCGCCAAAGTTGACTGAAGTCGACGGAACCAAACGGAGATGGTCGAAGGCGTGGGCTCAGGAAACAAAAAGAAAATCAAAAAAGAGAAGAGTGTAGCATGCGTGTAGTATAGGAATAATCCTACACCGTATCGGTTGTTAACTGTGCGGCTAGTCGCGGAAGCGTACGGGTAACCGTACTCGGCGACCGGAACGTGAGACGGTAGTCTCGTTCGCGTCGCGTGAGCCTGCAATCTCATCCGAAGTCAAGGGCGGCGTGGTCTGCTGATCTGGACGTGAGACTGTCGTCTCATCCGTAGACGGTGCAGATGACGCGTGCTGTTGACTGGGACGTGAGAATGAGGTCTCAGATGTATCTAGCGTGGGACCTGAAGATGGTTTGAGGATCCCGCTAGTAGGTTTGCTAGGTCTAGCATTGAATCTCAGGTTATCAGATAGGGCACTGTCATCGACGTGTGCTGGTTTGAGACGATCAATGCTGACGATCTCGACGCGTCCATATCGATCAACCTTGAAGGTCTTTTCGTGACGAGCGATCACGTGAAAAGGGCCTTCGTAAGGTTGTTGCCAAGTTTGCGTACCGAATCTACTCGTATGAAAACATGTGAACAGGTAGATAACTCTCGAGGGAGAGCGACCTGTCGATGTTGTATTCGAGTTGACACCGGAGACAGCGTTCGCATAAATGCAGACAGTCGATGGACGTAGTCTGATTTACCGAAATTAGGTCTGCTCCGTGGTGTGAAGAATTCTCCGGGCAGACGCAATGTCGTGCCGAATACCAGTTCAGCGGCGGAACATTGTATATCTGCCTTCAAGCTCGTTGTGATCCCTAAAAGAACGAGCGGTAAGGTTTCGTGCCAGTTGCCGTTTTCGTGTGCTCGTATAGCACTTTTAAGTTGGCAGTGAAACCGTTTACTTAACCATTTGGTGCTGGGTGGTAGACAGATATGCTTATGCGTATGCATTCCGTACCAAGCAGCCGGGTCAGCGAGGAGAATATAGCGTGGAATTCATCGTCACGCGAATAAAAAGTAACAAGGATTCGGTACACGTACATGTGAGTCTATTATATTAATACTATTCTTATCGTTATCCGTCATGTCGAGTATATTAAATATTAAAAAATATGAAAATATACGACAGACGTGGATAGATAAATCATAGACTCACCGAATTGGCTTCTTTGGAAGATTTGATCAGAAGTTGAGGCGTGTTCCAAACTTTGGGATCACCAATTGTATTCGAATTGGGATTACCAATTGTAGCGTGGCGTCGAGTTGAGATTAACTATGAACACCGCTACCAAGAAACACGTGCCAAATAGATCAGAAGGCGTAAGAAGCTCGTTCCAAATGACTCCATAAAATCCCCGAGAAGCCAAATATCAGAAGGCAATTAATGGACCAAGTCGAGGTTTATTAGCTGGCGATCTCGTGGCATCGAAAGGATACCGAGATCGTGCCAGGATACAACCTTGGTTACAGAAGGTAACCGAATTCGCGCGAAGTTACAATCGAAGTGCGTGTAAAGAATGGAAGCACAAAATAGCTGTCATTAGCACAGTCAAACAAAAGCACGTTAAAACAAACACTGGTACAGTTGGTTATAATAATAATTGCTTTTATTAAACCAGTCGTGTTCTCGTGATAAATGTGAGTCACTACAGCTTCTTGGTCACAAGTCAGAACAGAGAATCTCATTTTCACCATCTGGATCTCGTTTACCAAAGATTCCAAAACACTGCATCGCTGTGGGTATTCACAAATATCAAATGAAGTCCGACTCCCTGTATTCCCTCTGACACACCATTACTAGTCAAGGCATCCGCCCCCGTAAGGCAAAGTGGCGGCCATTCTGGATTATCTATGTGTGATAATTAGGATTATTTGAATCATAGCATAAACTGGGAATCCAAGAAATTACGTAATTTAATCAAGAAGTATTAGATAAGCACGAACGAATATACTGGATTTGGAGTTCGAAATCAAGCATTCAACAAGTACAAAGGAATCATTAGCTCATTCAAACACCACATCCGCCACAACTTAAATTGGATTCTAAGTGTCTGTAATTTATTGTGCGTCTTCTTCTTAACTCCATCCTGTGTCTGTCCAACAGTGTATTGGATAAAAAATCTGTAATATCCATAATGTATTCATTAGTATTAAAATTAACAACTGAAATCGGAACAGACTCACCTGGTTCCAGGGATTGTATACAATCACCGTTCCGGTTGTGTACCGAAACCACTATCTAGAATTTAACGCACAGATTTCCCAACACTATCCTCCCCCACGAAATAATGTTGGATCTTCATGTCCTCAAGTTATGAATGATGTGGCTTCATTTAAAACATATTTCTCACATTTACTAGGGCAAACATTAGAAGTAAATTCGTGATAAGTATAAACAGCAGTTGATATGAAATAACTCGAATTGTAAACAAAATCGAGCTAAACAAGTTTCCCATAAGAAACAAATGCACTATGAGGACAAGTAATATTTGGTATGACACCAAGATTTGACTCTTCTGAAATAGTTTCCTCGAATTTATTAAGAATGTCATTGCAGAGTAAAAGATCATTAGAAAAATGAGCATCTAACAAAACCACATCAGGTTTTTGATCATGACTAGGTTCATCCAACATATTTTTCTCAGATTTGAAAGGGATTTCGTCAGAAATAAGTGAGTCATTAGGAAAAACCATATCTGGTACGACAACATGAGAAATCTGACAAGCTGATTGACTAGAAACTGTTGTCTTGCAAAGATTTTGAGTTTCACTTAACTCTGGACTGCTATATGACTCTACACTGTCTTTTAAAGTCGTGGATAAAGATAAATGATCTTTAGAAACACTCAACTTAGTAGGATCACAATTACAAATTTTAGCATTAGTTGTAGCGGGAAAAACCGCAAAAATGGAAAACTCACTGAATGTGTTCAATCTCATCACATTTAAGGCATTTAGAATTACGAAATACGCATGAATTAAAAGAGTGGAACTTGCCACAGGACAAACATTGACCAAACTTGTGCCCATCTTTGGGAACTGTATCGCAACTCCTCAATGAATTATCTTCATAACCTTGAGCATGCACTGGATTGGGGTGACGTAGTAATGTAGTAGAATTTTTGATGTTTTGATGAACCATTTTACAAAATCTTCCTCCTTTACCGCATTCGAAATGTGTATACTTAACATAGTCTAGAGGTAGTTCCCTGAGAGTCACATAAGGAAGAGAAATAGGCTTTTTGTAAGCTGTAAGCATCTTTTCAAATGAATGGGAGGAAATGTGCCGTAATATTAACATTCTCAAAATCTTCCTTGATCATAGCCCAGATTTCGAACCTTTCCAAGTAATGCAGTATGTATTCAACGTCCCATCATAGGATCCATCGCGACATCAATGTGATAATTAGTGCGGCACGTATCATTAGCGTGTACTTGCAAACAGGAGCGATCTGAAACACAACACAACAGTCAGGACTGGCAGATGCCACTCAAGTGAAAACACGGCGTGCGAGCACAACAGAGATATATTAAAAATTGAAGTATGCAGTTTAAGTACAAAAAAGGAAGTCTATTACAAAATGGTTTTACCCATTATCCCGTATGTTTAGCTTGCGCAAGTCTTGTTCTTCTTCTAGTACTTACAATTTATGTTGTCCTGCAATAAGGAAAACGAACTTGCATTAGTAAAGTCACACGTAATGATTTTTGATACTGTTACATTAGGATTATTTGAATTATAGCATAAACTGGGAATCCAAGAAATTACGTAACTTAATCAAAAAGTATTAGGCGCGAACGAATGTACCGGATTTGGAGTTCGAAATCAAGCATTCAACAAGTACAAAGGAATCATTAGTTCATACAAACACCACACCATAGTCGACCATAGTTATTTAAGTATATTCAGCGGCCCAGTAAGTTTCTATCGACGGTTCATACCGAATTGCGCGTCTCTCATGAGACATTTAGCAGACCAACTTCATGGAAACGCGAAAATCTTCAACTAGGGCGGCAACTCGAGAAGTGCATTCTTCACCGCTAGGGAGCTTATCGCAAAAGCAACTTTGCTGGCACAACCTGACATCAAATAACTCATTAGTATCGCATTAAATGCATTGGAATCGACAGTCGGAGGAGTCCTGCAACAGTGGGTAAACAACAGCTGGCAATCTTTGGCATTCTCCTCCATACAGATGCAAGACATTGAC